AGACTTGTTAACACTTAAGATATAAGGTGTTTTTTTTTCGTACAGTTAAATTCGTTGATCAATGATCTCTACAATTTTTTACAGTTTTTCTCCCCCTTTTGACAATGTAATCATCTATTACTGATCTTTTGCACTTTTTTTTTTTGTTAAAACAAGTTAAAATAAATATTTTTTTAAAAAGCGTAATAATTATTAAAATTGGTATGACTTTACTGCTGTCAAAGGTCTGCGAAGCGTATAAACAATATCCGAATGTGGGTGTAAGTGAAGATTTAAAAGAAGAAAAAAGAAAAAGAAGATTAAATCATAATTGCTATCCAATTTTACCATATTCATTTTATGCTCTATTAAATAAATTATCACTTTTTTCTGTTCACACAAAAGAAAAAGAATAGATCAGTAACAACATTGAAAACATATGCAATTTATTGGTTAAACCGTTTAGGAAAGCGTAAAAGAACCAAAAAAAAACTTGATTTGTTTTTAATAATCATTATTTAAGATATATCAAAAAAAAAGTAGAGCTAAGACAAAAAAAAAAGTGTAACATTGATATCAACAATAGCAGTACTGATAGTAAAATAGTAAATTAGAGTAGAAATAATGGTCTGTTATAAACAGTAGCACCGTTTCATAGATGACCGTAGATAATTTTGACAGCGCGAGAACGGGACAAGTTGATCGACACAGAATGACTGAAAATCATCTCAACCTCTTCATAATAAGGGCTTAGTCTGTTTGCTAAAGCTAAAGCACTTAGCCATCCTGTTAGTCCATCTTCTGCTGTTTTCATTCAGTTCATCAAAATATTTACTGTTAATTCAAACAACAAAAAAAAAACCTCTTCTTTTTTTCCTCTTCTTCTTCATCTTTTTCGCCTACATTTTCTTTTTCTGCAGTCAATTCCTACAAACAAAATTAGATGAAACAAGGAACAGAGCAGTTATTCTCCTCATACAGCTAATAACATAATACGTAGGTTAAACTAAGTCGTACACACTGCAAAAAAAAAAAAAAA